TATATATATATATATATATATATATATATATATATATATTGCATACTACTGCAGACAGTAGAAATCTCACACCAGTATTTATATCCATAGATATATACAGCAATGTGTTTGTATAATACCTATGATCTATCCCTTACCTGACGTGGTCACGTCACTGCTGTACTATTAGCACTGCTGTAGATGCGTAACTATGAATGCTATATGTGTCTATATAGGACTATGCGTCATGGAATACACCGCCCAGCAAACATTATAAGCCTTATCATAATTCACTGAAATTTCCACCAATCAGAGCACGCCGAATACAACCGGCATGCAGCGCGGTTAGATCAGTTTCCATTCATTTTCCCGCGTAATGAATGTGACAATTTTCCCGCGGAATGTGACAATATGATCTCATGCTGTAAGTATTAGCGGGGATCGACACCCCATATTTGATGACGTCACACTGCGGAGGGGTGGGTCACAATCATCTTCACCAGTACGCACAACGCTACGGACCTCCCAAGCGACCGCGTGCACAATCACTCCATCGATTGGGAGAATTCGAAGATCATCGATCGCGAGCCAATCAAAATCAGGCGTTGGATTAAGGAGGCCATCTGGATCCGCAAGACCCCTAACATTAACCGAGACGAGGAAGGTATACAGGCTTAGTCATGTATGGACTAAACTATTGACCACCACACCATCGGGTGGTCGAAACTGATAATCATCAGTTAGCTTTGAGAAAGCCTCCTGGCTGGAGGCGAAACGTAAGCGGTACGTTTCCAATCTTCACGGTTGAGTAACAATTAACCCTGTTATATCTGGTATTATTAGTACGCAGCGCTGATCCGCTTGCATATATGCCCAACAAGATACCTCATGAACGAGCAATCCATGTATTACTAACACGGGCGCCTATTAAATTTGCTGGTATAATCATTTAAGATAAAATGTCACGCATCGATCCAGTTTAGTCTTGATTTACACTGTAAATGAATGAGAGATTAGGCATTAATTAATTAGGTTGTAATTTCAATGGCATTATAAGTATCTTCGTGTGCTAATTAACGAACTCGTCTTCTGATAAGAAAACATCTCCGGGGTAAACTCAACGCTTGCGCGTTTGCGCGTTTCATGTGCTTTGTCGAATATCGATCATGTGAATAACATCGCGGACTTTGGGGGATTTAGCCTACGTTTACGTAAGAAACATTTTACAAAAATGTAATTCATATGATCGTTTCAGTATAGAACTATATACTCTGACCTTTTTCATTTACTCACGGGGGTGTGTCGATTTATTTTTGTATCGCATACTAAAGTCCTATGTGACCATATACTAGTGGTGTAAACAGCGATGTAAAGTCTTATTACGGTTTTATTAAGGTCTGGTATATTGGCTAGCGTGCGACCGCAAATGTGACGCAGCAGTCTTTTCCATGATAATTGCGAGTTTTTCG